TAGTCATGGATACCGTGGCAGGCTAAAGACAATAGAGATTCTTCCATCTATACTGTTCACATGGACGGGAATCAAACTACAGTTGCAAGAAAAAGTATGTGAACCCCTTGGGAGTTTTTTTTTTTTTTGCAGCACGTTTGAAGTTTGCAAAAGAGCACCTGGATGTTCCACAGCACTACTGGCAAAATATACTGTGGACAGATGAAACCAAGATTGAGTTGTTTGGGAAGAACACACAACACTATGTGTGGAGAAAAAAAGGCACAGCACACCAACATCAAAACCTCATCCCCACTGTAAAACATGGCGGAGGGAGCATCATGGTTTGGGGCTGCTTTGCTGCCTCAGGCCTGGACGGATTGTTGTCATTGATGGGAAAATGAATTCCAGAGTTTATCAAGACATTTTGCAGGAAAACGTATAACCATCTGTCCGCCAACTGAAGCTCTGCAGAGGATGGGTGATGCAACAGGACAATGACCCAAAGCATACAAGTAATTTAACAAAACAATGGCTGCAACAGCACAGAATACGCCTTCTGGAGTGGCCCAGTCAGAGTCCTGACCTCAACCCGATTGAAATGCTGTGGCATGACCTTTAAGAGAGCGATTCACACCAGCCATCCCAAGAATATTGCTACACTGAAATAGTTTTGTGAAGACGAGTGGTCCAAAATTACTCCAGATCGTTGTGCAGGTCTGATCTGCAACTACAGGAAATGTTTGGTTGAGGTTATTGCTGCCAAAGGAGGGTCAACCAGTTATTAAGTCCAAAGGTTCACATACTTTTTCCTCCCTGCACTGTGAATGTTTACATGTTATGTGCAATTAAACCATGGCAACATCTAATGTTTGTGTAGTATTATGTTCAGCAGACTGTGTTCTTCTATTGTTGTGACTTAGATGACGTTCAGAGCACATTTTATGCCCAATTTATGCAAAACTCCACGTAATCCCATGGGGTTCACATACTTTTTCTTGCAGCTGTATCTTAGATTGTAAGCTCCAAGGAGCAGGGCCCTCCTAACCCTCTTGAACTGTATTGTTGCTGTATTGTCTCCCTTTATATTGTAAAGCGCTGAGCAAACTGTTGGCGCTATATAAATCCTGTATAATAATAATTTTTTTTTCTCCCTGTCTTGCGAACTAACAGTTGGAATTTAAGCCATCTATTCCTACCTTAAGAATTTGGGTGTCAATTGTCTACCTTTTACACGCTTAGGCTATAAACCTCCCTCTGCATCCCACACAAGGACATGGCAACAATCCACAAATGACTAAATAGCCTTACCTTACCTGTCCCCCACCCCACAACAATCCTAACCTCTCTAGCTCACCCCTCTATTTCTTTCCTAACATTACACCTCTTCACTTCCACTTCTGCCCATTCCCCCGCATACCCCTTTCCTTCTCCACCTCCTTTCCCTCGCTCACTATTTTCCTTAAACCTTCAACTGCCTCCCTAAATACCCAGACCTCCCCACTCTTCCCTTCCCACACTCCTTCCTCTCCACCTCCCTGTCTAACATTCCAGCTCCCCTTCCGCCTCTCCCTAATTTTCACCACTTATACAATCCGAATGCACCTTATTTGGCTCTACCAACAAGTATCTAATGCAAGGCCCTGCCTGATTGGATAGAAATTATTTATACCTATTACATATTATACTGTTTTGGTGAATACAAAGTTTGTCTGATAAGACTGTAGCTTGTATGATGAGCCTGTCTCACTCCCACATCTTGGAAATTGAGAAAATGAGCCAGAGTAAAAGCTCAACACACACAATACAATCTGATTGTAATATCTCCCTTTGGATTTACCAAGATTTAGTGTAAGGATACAAATTTGATACAAATTGATTGACTAGTTTAGGTAGGTGCCCATACTGTTAAATCTAAAGTTGGTTGTACAAAGATTATACGGAAAGATTGTAATGTGTAAGGTGATTCTAAGACCTTTTCCCCACTACATGTAATATACACAGACATAAGCAACCGCATTCCTGGTACCTTCTGGATCAACAATACATTATTTTATTGAATCTATGAGAATGCATTGTTCCAGCTGCAGTGCTCAGAAAATTGCATATTGGATGTGATACACCTAATGTGCCCTGGTGATGCATTTGTGTTAGCTGCATTATCCTCAGTTGTTTCTTATACTAGTAGCACAGGGGTACTGAATTAAAATTCAAGGGGGTCCGGTCAGCAAAATTTTCTTCCAACGGAGGTCCGAGTGTTAAGTCGGTGCTATGACTCAGATCCTTTCTATCACAGCTTCCTGTGCACATCACAGTTCCTCTCCCCACCCCCATTCCCCCACTTTTACATCACACACTGACCCATCAAAGTTTGCCCCATCACAGAATCCCCCCCCCCCCATCATTGACTGCTGCATCACAGACCCCCCAATCAAAGACCCCCATCACAGACACCTCTCATTACAGACCCCTCTCATCATATACCACTCTCATTACAGACCCCTCCATCACAGACCCCTCTCATTACAGATCCCCCTCATTACAGATCCCCTCTCTTTACAGGCCCCTCTCATTATAGACCCCCCCTCATCACAGATCCCCCTCATCACAGATCCCCTCTCATCATAGACCACTCTCATTACAGACCCCCCACATCACAGATCCCCTCACATCACAGACCCCCCACATCACAGACCCCCCTTATTACAGACCCCGCTCATCACAGATCCCCTCTCATTACAGACCCCCCACATCACAGACCCCCCTTATTACAAACCCCGCTCATCACAGATCCCCTCTCATTACAGACCCCTCTCATTACAGACCCCTCTCATCACAGATCCCCTCTAATTACAGCCCTTACCCCTGCAGGAACCGCTGGTGATGGTAGGTTCTCTGTTCTGCCATGACTCAGTAAACTGCTTGATCTCCACTGACTCACCTGGTTGTGGCTTCAGACACGTTCACACCTGTGTGACTTAAGCATTACTATACCTACACTCTCTATTAGCACACGGAAAGTAAGCCAACAACAAACTAATGGTAGATTAATTCAATGTATTAAGGCAGGTAAACTATGTGTAAATAGGCAAACAACAGAACACTTTCAAAGCTGCAAAAAGTGAACACTGACCTATAACAGGATGATCTAACTGAACTGCAGCACTGCTAAATCAGGTTTTAATGAAACCAATAACTGGCAGAGTCAGATTAAACTAACAAAATAAATAGTAATCTTGGGTGCACCCTGAGATTACAGCCCTTTAATGTGTGGATTTACACATGCCTAATGAAGGGTACCATGAAAGTTATTAAAGTACAAGATGCCTGATTAGTCAATAGCAGCTTGCTATCGGTGGGGTCCTTCTGTAGGTGGCGTACTGTCACTTTAAGAATGTGAGTGATGCATGACAGATGAGCAGCCAGGTAAGAACAGTATCTCAATTGGTTGCTGGGTGTAGTAAGAGGTATAGTTCAGTTCACCCCTCCTAGAAGGTAGTAGGTCTGGTCCTATGCACTTGGCTGTCAGCTCTTTCAAAAGTCCCAGTCCTCTCTGGCTCTTCTGACTGTAGGCTGTCTTGCAAGGGGGTCCCTCCAGCTTCTACAGCTGGAGAAGTCTCGTTGTCTCAGTCCTTTTGGCCCCTGGTATGCATGCAGACACCATAGGGATGGTCCTGCTCTGCTGCAGGTCCCTGCACACAGGAGGCTTGCAGTTGCTCAGTCTCTTGGCTCTGTTACAGAGTGCAGCAACTCTTTCGCTCTACCTCAACAGTTGGTCTGCACTTCTTCCTCTCCTCTTCATAAAGACCCCTCGGTATCTCGATTTGCCCAGAAAATCAGTCTTGTCTCTCCTCTGTGTCCAGGGAATCATGGGTGCTGTAGTTCTGCAGCTATTCAATTATATTGCACCGTGCCACTTTAAGACTACATTTCCTAGCATCCCTCTGCTTCACACAAGTCTCCTTCTCTGATTTTCAAATTGGCTCAAGCTCTCTACTCTCTGATTGGCTCAAGCTCGTTGCTGAAGGGGGGGGGGGGGCAGGGAATCTGCCCTGTTTATTGTCTATAGTGCCAGGGGTGAAGGAATCCACAAAACCACCAGCAGCGCACACTACATAAATAATTTTTTTTTCTTAACAAAGTCTTTGTGATAGAAGCATGTAGAAAGCATGTCCAGACATTGTGTACATATATGCTCCATTAACACTCACCCCTAGCAGATTCTCACAAGGAATACATGAAAAATGTGAGGAAACAGAAGATTCACCTGACAGCGCAGGAAGTGACAGGAAACCTGCTTTGTGGGTACACAGGAAGTACTGAACCCAACCCTCACTCACTCTTTTCCAAAACTTTAAAAACATTGTTATGACAGCATTCAAACTGATGTTTTCTATTTCTTTTTGAACTATTTATATCAAATCTTTATTAAAAAAAATAATTTAACACAGGGGAAGAGCAGAAGCTATTTTTAATTCACACTCTTTCTATCTCTCTTTCTAATTACAACTCCATACACCATATCCATTTGAACAGAGCAGGCAGGGGGGTGGTACCTGGGGGATTAGGTTATACTCTGCCTCATTTATTTGCTTGAATCTTGAGCTATTGAGCTTTGTAAACAGACTTTCTTTAGCAAAGCAGCTAAGGATATCCTTGTAAATGTCCATAAATACAAACATGAAAAATTCATATGTAATATGTCTTGTTTAGCTGACTAAAACACTTGTAAAACTTTTTACAAACTGCATTTTTAGTTCTAAACATAACAAAATAAAACATACAAAACATTTCCCACTTGTAATTTACACTGTGTAAGCACAGATCGAGCTGCAACTGCATTAAAACATTTCATACTTGGGTGGAGCCAGTTTTGTGGCAATGTAGTATTTTTATTTCTGCCCAGCTTGTATTTTTAGATAATGAGCATTATGATTTCAATGTAATTTTTTGTTAGGCTGGTCTTCATATTGAATAATACTCTGTAACCCTCTTTAATCTGTGTGTTTTTGTGATTACAGTAAATCGATGTGTGGCTTCCAGAGCAAAGACCTGTACAGAATGTATTCGTGTGAACAAGGAGTGCTCCTATTGTACAGATGAAGTAAGGCATATTTATCTTTTTTTTTGCTTCTAAGGCCATGTACATGGGGCGTTTTGATAACGCTGGTAACGTTAGCTGTGTAAAGTCACGTTAAAAACGTGAGTTTTTCAGCTTTTTTAGCGTTTTTGCATTAGCGTTTTGCCGTGTTTTTCAGCGTTTGCTCTTTTTAAAAAAAAAAGTCCAAAAACGCCGGTTTGCGGCATTTTACCGCGTTTTTCAGCCTTAGAGCATTTTTACAGCTAAAAATCTCCTCTAGAAACCCACTAGTCCTGGGTTTTCTTTCCAGCCAAAAAAAAGTCCCTGCTAAAAAATGCTGATTACAGTCTGTGTGCATGGACACATAGGATAACATGCTGGGGAGTTTACTGGCTGTAGAAAAAAACATCAAAAGCCAAAAACAGCAGCTATAAAAACGTCCATTGTGCATGAAGACTAAAAGATGACAGTTTTTGTATATAATGTCTGCTGTAAGATGAGAGTTGAAGCGTACCCTAATGCATATAGTGTCCTGGCTGGGATTCAAACTGATGACCCCAGTGCTGCAAGACAGAAGGGCCAACCGCTAGGCCCAATGGTCAATTCGAATCCATGGGTTACTTTGATTTGCTCATTACCATTGCAATTTGTGCTGCTTTACAGAACGTTGTGTTACAATTAATCAGCATTTAACTTGTAACAGAGAGCAGCATAATGGGAGCAGTGATATGCTCTGTGAACTAAATGTCAAAGCTCTAAAATGTTCTCTGCAAATGTCCTCATTTTTAGATGAGGCATCAGAGTTTATAGTCTGCAGACTCCAGTCATAAAAAAATAGGGAAAGGATTGTTATTGGTGAGTTTCACTCATTTTTCTTCCTTCTAGAATTTCCAAAGTGTTCGCTGTGACCTGCAGAGTAATCTCATCCAGTATGGATGCAGTAGAGCAGGAATCGTTTACATGGAGAGTGAAGTCCGGACTCTTATGGTGAGACTTGAATTTAAAAGTGATCCCGGTAGCTGCTGGTTCACCTTGCTTGCAACTCTTTTTGACTCATTGTCATCGTCAACTCCTTCATGTTGATGCTTTGGCTTCAGTGTTTTGTCACTGGCCCATACCAATGAACATGCTTCAAACTCCAGCCAAAACCTTATTTTAGTGTTCGGCATTGTGGAGGAAGGATATAACCTCTGTCGGACTTTTTCGTGTTCTATGCTTCCATTAGGGAAAATTTCCCTATTTAGGCAGTAAATTATGGGAAATTTCTCCAGTGGGAACACAATCTGAAACACTTTATTCAGTAAAATGAGCTGCAGTTTCACTGCCAAGCACCTGCCAGAACCTGGGCATGCAGCAGCTCAGGGATGTACACATACCATGGCCATGATGCTGTACTTTGCAGCCATGATGCTGTGCTTCACAGCCCCAACAAAAATTAAACAGCATTGCACATTCGGTGGGTGTTACTGCCACCGAACGTAACCAATGCAAGTCAATGGAGCCTTGCTGCAACCATGTGCAATGTTAGTACAGCATTTAGAGGGTTAAATCAGGTCTGTCAAATGCTCTCTGAGGAACTATCCAATGCAGATTGCTCTTCAGAAGGCACTGCACGTGTGAACGAGCCCTTGCCGTAATAGATTGATGGCACTGGAACCGTAAGATAATAATGAAGTGCTACTATGTTTCTTGACAAAAACAATTGAGTACTGTCCATGATACTTTTTTTATTTGCACTAACATACAATTTTCAGGACAAGCCTTTGGGGGTATGTCCTCTTCTTCAAGGTCCAAGCACTACTACCTTGGACCTTGATGAAGGGGACATACCCCGAAAGCTTGTCCTGAAAATTGTATGTTAGTGCAAATAAAAAAACTATCACGGACAATACTCAGTTGTTTCTGTCGCAAGTGCACTAATACGGCTACAATCACCTCAAGCACTATGTTTCTCAAAATTTAAGTTCTTCTGATGATATTTCATGTGGGAGATGGGTGCACTATCACAATAAACTCCAGATGTAAAGACAATATTTGAATCTAAAATCAAAGCATGACACTAACATATTATAGCCCAAGGTAAGGCTTTATTCCAAACATCAATTAGATATGGGAGCCAATGCGTTTCAGGGTCCACATATCACCCTCTTCATCTGGGCTTGAGAAAATATCAGGTCTTTTCGTGCAAACTCAGGGAATGAATTAGAATATGGATGTGGTATGTTGTCAAGAAGAACTCAGTAATGTTAAGCTGCTGGTATAGGTAACCTATTTTCACAAATCATATAGAAGGGGGTGATATGTGGCTCCCGATATTCGTTGAATCCTATAGCTGATTGATGTTTGGAATAAAATCCTAGCTTGGACTTGGATTTCAGTGAGGCGTTTTGATTTTAGATTCAAATATTGTCTTCACAGCCGGAGGTTTTTTGTGGTAGTGCACAAAAACTGCCCACTCATTTCCCTCATGGGATATCATCAGAAGAACATACATTTTGATAAACAAAGTAGCACTCACTATTGCCTTAAGGTTCCAGTGCCATCAATCTACTACTCTAAGGCCTCGTACACATGTGCATTGCCTTCAGAAGAGTGATCTACATTAAAAGTTATTAGCTCTGTCTGTGTCTTTCTATCCCCTGATAACCGTTCCTCTCATTTCTTGTACTATAGTCACAAAAACAAGAAGTGAGGTGATATCCTCCCAACTGGGTCAATCACAACAATAAAGTCTTGACAGAAGTATTTACTCTTCTTTAGTTTATACAAAACTAGTAAAAAAAAGTTTTGGCTGTAACTGAGCAGACATTAGGGAGAACTCTATGGGCCTTGTTCCTTCTTTCTAAAGTCCCATTTTGGAGCCCCTATATAGAAGGTCTACATCTGTTGTTGGAGAACCTGTCCTCTATACACTTTACACAGCTTTTACACTCAGGTGTAACTTCTCGTCTGTCTACAGAAAGAACAGATTAATACGGGATTAGTTAGAACACAAGTCTATCCTCAACGAATGTCTATGCGACTGCGTGCTGGAGAGGAACACAGCTTTGAATACCGTGTCTTTGAGCCTATGGATACTCCGGTGGACCTTTATATCTTGATGGACTTCTCCTACTCAATGTCTGATGACTTGGAAAATCTCAAGAAAATGGGAGATCACTTGGGTGAGGACAAATAACACACAGAGAATTTCAAGAATATATAAAACCCAATTTTTCTTTGTTTAGTTTTGTATAGAGCATGGAAAGCTTAGAGCCCTGGGGCCCAACCTAGAGCCTGTGGACCATTTGTAGGTCTTTGATTTTTGTTATGTGTCCCTCACAATCCAACAGTCAGTAGTAGGTATAGGAGCATTGCTTTCTAAAAGGAGTATATAGAAGTAATCTATAAAAACAGTGATTCTGTTTTTGAATTTTTAAAAATAATTTCTGACATGTTGGTGTTATATCTTTCACTTGGATGTTAAAAATAGCAGTAAATATAGCTGGATAAAACAAAAACTGTGTCTGTCTTCATTTCAGACTGAAAAGGGGGCTGATTCTTTTCACTACCCACTGTATATATACGAGAAAAAACTTAGTGAATGCATTGTAAGCAGGAAGAAGGACCACTGCTATGGTCTACACATATTCATTTCAAAGAAATATATGTGAACATATAGATGTAGCTTGGCAGAGGGGGCTGCTGCCCAGTATTCATAATAAGTTTTACCACAGCTGGTCCTTAAATATAGTGCAGTTTTTAAAATGGATGCAGAGTGTGGCTTTTGTTTTTTTTTAGTACAAACTGACCCTGGGGTTCAAAAATCTTTGAATACATATATTAGAAATTTAATTTTGAACTTCTTTTCTTTTTTATCACTTCCACAGCTGAGGTTGTCTCTAAACTGTCCAGTAATTACACTATTGGCTTTGGGAAGTTCGTGGATAAAGTTTCTGTTCCTCAGACGGATATGAGACCGGAGAAGTAAGTCAACCAGGCCTATTTAATAAATTTTTCCTCCTCCTTTATCACTGCGCATATGTATACAATGAATTGTGAGATTGGGGATCTTTGATATTAAAGCTTGTACAAGGATTCCGAGGAACATTCCTCTCAATAGTATATTCAATGACTTGATGAACGTTGCTTGAAAATACTTTGAAAAACATTTGCTTTTAACATTCAATTTTGGCGTGAATGGAGTTTCCTGATGAAAACCCCATACACTGAAAAAGTAAAAATTTTGCTCCTTTCAATCGTCTCATCACTGTGGTCAAAAATTAACAACGATTTGACCCTACTACTGATTAGCGAATTGAAGATGAAAGCTTTCAAATGGAATTCTATTAGAGTATGGTTTTTGTTTACAAGTAGAAATCAGTAGAGGCTGTAGGACTCAGATGATCAGAGTTTTTGGGGTCTATTCATGAACGCCCACAGCTTGCACTCTGCACAGTAAAACCACTGAAAATCCTCCATACTGCGCTGTATCTTACAGTTAAATATGCAATACAAAGCTCAGTATGGAGCCAGCATTGCCATGTGTTCTTTGTATAATGATGCCGAGAACATTTGCTGATAGGAGGCGAGCCCTGTCACTTGACCTGTTCTGGAGTGCTTTTAATAGGCCACAGTTAAACCATACAGCTTCTTTATAAATGGGTCCCTTAGAAATCTGTAGAAAAAGTGATGTGACCATGTAATTAAAACATACACTATATTAGTACGAAACTGACAAATATGTCTTATGACGTCTGATTTTATCTGTTCTACTTAGTGCTTACTGCTAGAGATAGCTAACTGAAAAGATAACTACAACTTGATAAAGACTGCCAGAAATATTTGGAAAATTCCACTTACAGTACATCATGAAAAATGGTATTAGAAAAACTCACTACATTCTATTGAATATATTTTCTTTTCTTTTTTTTTCTAATCATTTTACAAATTGTCTTTATTTCTTTAACCATTAATATGTAAAACTTTTCTTTTGTTTTTATTTATGCTTGTTTCTTTTTTTTTGGTGTTGCATTAAAAAAAGTGCAAAATTGAAAAGAAAAAGCTTGTATAGTTTGCAAGACTTTGTAAAAAGAAAAATAATTATCCTGTCATTTTAAATGGGTCCAAAATCTGGTGCATCTGTGCATGGTAGCCAATCTGCTCCTAACCTCAGCTTTTTCAATTAACCTTTGACAAAAAAAATCTGGTTTATGTGCAGAGCTGCACCAGATTTGCATTCTCCAGTAGAAGCTGACTGGCTACCATACACAGCTGCACCGGATTCTGAGTACTCCATCTTTAGTAAATCTCCCCCATAGTGCAGCCAAGGGCATAGTAAGTCAGTAATGAGGAAAGACCAGCTGCAGGGAGACCAAAAGTAGTATTGGTGACTATTCCTTTGCCCTCTGCCTGCCTTTCTTGGATACAATTTCCAGAGCTCAGTTCCTCTTTAATATCCAAGTATAAAATTTTGGGGAAAAATATTAATCTAAATATCTCAATTTAGATCCAGGTTAATAAGTCAGGACATACTTCTGCATACCAACATAGTTTGTGACCTAGGGCTAGAGACAGTGGTGTATTTAGGTTTTGTGCTGCCCTAGGCAACACAAAAACTGTGCGCCCCCCTTCCCCAGTGAGAGAGAGGTTGCATGGTGACAGTAGCAACTAGGGTGTAAAGGGTGGTGACAATAAAGAAAGGGTGTATACAGTGTACTATGGTGGGTGATGGGGGAGCCATAGCTGTACGAAGGGTGTGATGGGTGTAAGCAGGAATTGTGAAGTGTGATGGGTGGTGAGAGGTGCAGGATGGGGTGCAATGGGGTGTTGGGTGATGTCAGGTCTCTACAGGGAGTGGATGGGTGTATACAGGGTATGGTGGGATGTAAATTCCCTCCGACTCACAGACTGAACCCCCCAGAGTGATCTCCCTCCACCCCACAGAGACTACCTCCATATACACTGATCCCCCCCCCAACAGACTGTCCCCATATACACTTATTTCCCCCCCCAACAGACTGCCCCCATATACCCTGATCCCCCCCCCCAACAGACTGCCCCCATATACACTGATTTCCTCCCCCCTTACAGACTGCCCTCATATACACTGATTCCCCCCCCCCCCCCACACACACACACACACCCTGCCGACCTACCACTGCTCCAGCAGCAACACCATGTCCGCAGAACTGTACCCCGGATGTCCTTCTTCTCCTCAGTGGCAGCCAGTACACTGGAAAGGCTCATTACACTATCACACCTAGCCCAACATGTCCCCATCCTCACCTCACCTGCCGACCTCCAACCGCTCCAACAGCTGCGCCATGTCCTCAGGACTGTACCCCAGATGTCGTTCTTCCTCCTTCTTCTCCTCAGCGGCAACCGGTAAACTGGAAAAGGCTCACCGCGCTGACACGCCGAGCCCAACATGTCCCCATCTTCACATGTGTCCCTTCTTCCAGGGGGTGGCGCCGCCCTAGGCAAACACCTTGTTTGCCTTGCGGTAAATACATCCCTGGCTAGAGGTGGAAACCTATTACCGCCAGTAAGACAGAATTGAGAGGAATTTCAACATAGGTTCTCAGCCTTCACCATGCCACTTCAGGTTCTTGCACACACTTTTTTGTATACATCTGTACACAGTACTCGGGTTATTTGATAGCACCAATATATACGCAAGTACAGCAGTGCACAGCCTATCATGTCTATGGGAGGCGGGAAGTTGCATCCGGACTGCCTGGGTGGGTGAGATACCAGCATTTACGTTGAACAGGCCCACGTGCAAGGACCCTAATTGAGTTTCTGTGTATGTCCCCATTTTAGATTTTCCATCCCTTCCTGTCTTAGAGATCACCATCAAGAAAAGAGAGAAATTCCTCCCCAATGGGGGAAAGGCAGTAAACAGCTGACAGATATGTTAACCCTCCCTTCCTCAAACTGTCCATAGTAAAACAAAATTTTGGTTGGAGTTACTATTTAGGTGACGTCTGTGAACTCACCCTATGATTTCACCTTTAGGCTGAAGCAGCCGTGGCCAGACAGCACTCCTCCCTTCTCCTTCAAGAATGTCATCCGTCTCACCGATGATCTTACAGATTTCCGCAATAAGCTTAGGAATGAGAGGATATCTGGAAATTTGGATGCTCCAGAGGGGGGTTTTGATGCCATTTTACAAACTGCAGTGTGCACAGTGAGTAGTATCATTACTGGATGCCCAATATACTATGTTAAAAAATGCACGTGTTATTAAATGAATTATAAATTATATAAATAAAAATGTCAGAACTGTTAAAAAAAATCCTTGATCACATAGGCCTCTCTCTGTTGGACTTCATGATAAAATGCCAGTTCTATGGTGCATGCCTTAGCCATACCCGCCAACTGTAGACCTTAAAGAGGGACACCTTCGAGAGATGAGGACCTGCAGTGAGCATAGTGCACTCATTAAAATAGCAACTGCTAAAACACTGTGTTCAGAACTATGTAATGTACAACACAGATTACAGAGTGCAGTGGCCGGACTATATCATATAAATCACAGAGTATACAATGCAGCAGTCAGTAGTATGTAATGTACAACATAACTTATAGAATGCATGGGTCAGGAGTAGAACACACAGCACAAAATGCTGATTGCAGAGGTCAGGAGTACAAAACATAGCTGGACCTGCTGGTCAGTAGTCAGCACAAAATTGTGGCATCAGCTGTCAGTGGCAGGAAAAAACGCAATAACCTTGGCGGTCAACGAAAAGGAATAACGACTGCTGTCAGTGGATGAAAGAATTCCTCTTTGCGAACATCATTGAGAGGAAGAGCTCCACTCCCAGCATCTGCTTCAGTGAAAGGAAGAATCCCCTCTCCCAAGGCTTTGATGGTCAGTAGGTTAACCCCACTCAACCCCTTCTCAGATATTGTTTGTTATTGATTGCACATTTGTAATACGGAACTGTGAGAATGCATGTTATGTGCTTAGGAGCACTGTGGTGCCATTAATTATTGTAAATGGTATTGCAATGCCCCTTCCCAATGCAACTCAGTTGCAGCGCACCACAAAGCGCAGGAATGACTACTACACGTCTCAGTGCCATGCACTCACTAAACTTGGTCCATGTCTGATTT